ATCTATTTTCTCCCTGTTCAAAATTATGGCCATTCCCAATTTATCCCTTAAATGACAACTTTTCTATAATTTGTAAAAACAAACATTACCAGACCCCCAAAACCAGAGAATTGGATTGACGACTCACCATAACTACTTCTGGCTGAACAGGGGTGGTTGATAAAAATTATTTAAAGGGGAGGGAAGGGTAGGAAAGTTAGAAGATTTGGTTAGGCATTTAAAAAGCCAACCCCAGCAACTGTTATCCAATCTCTGTTTGCCAGAAGGCTCAGGGCTTGACTGAAGTTCTGACTGGATCCATCTGAAAGGGTAAATGAGTCAAGATGACCTGGAATCCATGACATAGGAAATCCAGGCAGGTCAGCTTAGCATCTCTGAGGATGTGTCTCACCAAAGCTGTACACTCTGTAATATACAAATCTCAAAAAAGATTTAAGTACCATCAAGATATCTGCATGGATTATGTAGGGTGCACAGACTAATTAAGGGTAAAATTCTGCTCCTTGTTTGAGCATCTGAAAGAAAGCTGGCTTTTTATAAGTTAATTTTAATAATAACCAATTATAAGTCTTCATTCATGCCATGTGAAGGATAACACAAAGAAACTTTTACCTGTCCTGTTTGATTCTCTTGAATTTTTCCAATTCTTCAGGGAGTTTCCCTCTGTTATATCTGATCCATCTCACTCTGGAAGGGGTCTAGAGCCAATTCTCCTTTCCTGTCAACACAAATATAAAGCCTTTCTCCCAAAATAGCATGTCCTTGAGCCAGTAACCAGAAAAACCTTGACCTTGACCTCTCTTCCAGAGGAATAATAATATAACCACAAAAAGCAAAATCACACCCATTTTGGTAATTAAAACAATTCAAAGCAAATAAAGCAAACTAAACTAATGCTGTGGGAGCCTATTTCCAAGCTCTCTATATAACTCTCAAGACCTAAGTTCCTACTGTTTGAGATCGGCTAGGCACACTATCTCCTGCTTTTGATCTTGATCTAAGTTTTTAAAATCAAATGTCTCAATATTTTACTATCTATAATTAAATTTCCTTCTGATTACTATATAAGCAAATTCTTAGGTTTTTACACTGTCATGTTAGGAATATTGAACCCAGAATTCCCGTGGAGCCCATTGCTCGTTGGAGGCAGCTGTCTTTCTCTGCCTTCCTCTCTTTTGACAATAGGGGAATGAGCTGAGGCCCGCTGTGTTTCTTTGGTTAAGGTTCCTGCACTGGAACTACCACATGGCCCACTCTTCTTGCTGAGAAACCAAATTTCTCCTCTTCTTAAAACTGTATCATTGTGAGTTTGTGATCAATCTGAGAATTTCATGATGGCCAGGGCTACACAGAGGAACTCTATCTCAAAAAAAAAAAAAAAAAAGAAAAAAGAAAAGAAAAGAAAAAAGAAAAACTAAAACTTAGATGTCAACTTTCTGTTTCCTGCTTGTGGTTCAGGATAGGAGCCCTCAGGTCCCTGTTCTGCCATCATACCTGTCTCTTACTGCTATATCTCCCTGTCATGATGGACTCTTACCATGCTGGAACCATAAGCCCAAATAAACTTTCTTCTATACACTGAAAAAGAAAGTGGGCAGGAAAATGCACTGGCCACACCCTGGCACCACCATGGAGATCCTGGACCTATGTTGTGGAAGCAGTTCCCATCATAGGGAGTATCTTAGTCAGGGTATTTATTACTGCTGTGAACAGACACCACAACCAAGGCAACTCTTATAAAGGACAACATTTAACTGGGGCTGGCTTACAGGTTCAAAGGTTCAGTCCATTATCATCAAGGTGAGAGCATGGCTGTCCAAGCAGACATGGGGCTGGAGAAGCTGACAGTTCCACCTCCTGTTCCAAAGGCAGGTAGAAAACTGCTTCCAGGCAGCTAGGATGAGGGTCTTAAAGCGCATGCCCACAGTGACATGCCTACTCCAACAGGGCTACACCTGCTAAATAGTGCCACTCCCTGGACCAAGCATATTCAAACCATCACAGGGGGCAAGCTCTTTATGTTTGACCAGCTTGACTGTGCCCACTCATTCAGGACGTTCAGCTTCCTAGGCTTTGTGTGGAAGGCTACCAGAGCTCTGACAAACTCCTGCCAGGCATTGTGCAGTCAGGGAAAGACTAGATATCTGATTTTTACAAAGGTATTAAAAGCATACATTAGATAATAGCCTATACAATAAGTGATACTGGCCACACTGAATTTGCCCAAGACTGAAATTAGATCCTCATCTCTTACTCTGTTCATGATCCAAACTGGGTCAGAGACCTTGATTTCATACTAAAATGCTAGAACTGCTAGAGGAAGATATATCGAATACATCTAAGAACAAGGGACTTTTCTGAGTGGGAAATGTAAGGCTTAGTGGTAAAGTGACCACCTCACAACCAGGAGACTGGGAAGATGGCTCAGCTGGTGAAGGGACCACCACTCCCTGGGCCAAGCATATTCAGACCACCACATTGCTAGTCAATAAGTGGGCCAAGAAACTTCACAGATGGTTCTCAAAGGAAGAAATACAGATGGATATTAAATATTTTAAAAGTTCTAACATCTTAGACAGGCATTGTATTGCATACCTTTAATTCCAACACCAAGAGGCAGAAGCAGGTGGATCTCTGAATTTGAGACCAGTCTGGCCTACATAGCCTGTTTCTAGGATAGCCAAGGCTACATAGTGAGATCCTATCTCAAAACAAAAAACAAAAAACAAAACTGGATTGTGGTGACACATGCTGTCTTAGGGTTTTATTCTTGTGAAGAGACACCATGACTAAGGCAGAGCTTATAGAGGAAAACATTTAATTGGGGCTGGTTTACAGTTTCAGAGGTTTAGTTTATTATCAGCGTGATGAGAAACATGGCAGTATCCAGGCAGACATGGTGCTAGAGAAGGGACCAAGAGTTCTACATCTTGATCTGCAGGCAGCAGAAGGAGACTGGGTGTAGCTTGAGCATATGAAGCCTCAAAGCCCACCCCTACAGTGAGACATTTCTTCCAACAAGGACATACCTCCTAATAGTGCCACTCCCCTTATGGACGAAGCATTCAAACACATGAGTCTATGGGGAACATTGCTATTCAAACCACTACACATTTAATGTCTTTAATCCCAGTACTTGCGAGGCAGAGGCAGGTAGATCTCTATGAGTTTAAATTCAAGGCCAGCCTGGCCTACACAGAGAAACCCTGTCTCAAAGAACAAAAAGAAAGAAAGAAGACAAAGTACAACAAATGCTGGCAAAGATATAGGAGAAAGGAACACTGTGGTGAAAATATAACTGGTGTAGCCATTATTGGGTCAGTGTGGAAATCCTCACAAAATCTAGAAATAGTGGTTTAGCTATGTGCTCCTGGGTGTATACTCAAAGGATTCTGTGTTTGTTCCTGTTCTTTCCACAATACCAAGGGCATGGATTTGGCCTAGACGTCTATAGATAGGTAAGTAGAGGCTGGAGAGATGGCTTAGTAGTTTAGAGTACTTGTTGCTCTTGTGGAGAACCCAGGTTCAGTTCCCAGCCTACTTAGTGGTTCATTGGCATCCATAACTCTAGTACCAGGGGATCCAATGCCCTCCTCTGATCTCTATAGGCAGCCGCACATAAGTGGTGCACACACATACATGTAGGCAAAATACTCATATACATAAAATGAATCATGAAAATGTGGTACATATACATAGTGAAGTTTTATTCAACCATAGAGAAATTATGAAATTTGTAGCAAAATATATGAAACTAGAAAATATTACATTAAGTACTGTAATCTAGGCTCAGAAAGACAAACATCTCACATGCAAATCATGGTTTCCATTCTCTCACTCTCTTGTGCTCTTGCTTAGTTGTTTGGCTGATTTCCTTTTTGTTTGTTTTTGGTTTTGAGACAGGGTTTTTCTATGTAGTCCAGGATGTCCTAGAACTCACTGTGTATACCAGACTCAGGCTGGCCTCGAACTCACAGAGATCTGCTTGCATCTGCTTCCTGAGTCCTGGGGCTAAAGGTATGTGCCACCATGCTAGACTTGGATCCTAATTTCTAACTGTAAATTATGTCTATTTAAGTTAGAATAAGTATGGGTAGAGTCTGTGAAGCTTGAAAGAGGCCCCTAAGATGGGAGGGGTGCTTTAAGACAGATAGGGAAGATCCTGGGACCATGTGATACATAAGTGGAAGGAGGAATACAGAGTCAGGATCTGCAACGGTACAGCAAGGACAGAGGAGAGCAGGGGCACAAACCAAATGTATATGTGAAATGGCATGAAGGGGGTCAGTGGGCTGGATCAATTCATACTGTCAACCCTAATAACTTAAGTTTGATCCTCAGCACCTACATGGTAAAAGGAGACAAATCACCTCCCTCAAGTCATCCTCTGATCTCCACATGTGACCACCAGCCCTCAGCCAGAATAATAAATACATGATTTTAAACTTTTTTTTTTTGAGGCAAGGTCTCTCTATATAGTCCCGACTGGCCTAGAAGTTTGGGGGAGCTGGAGGGAGGAAGTGTTATACATGGAAGCCCATTATTTTCATTATTTTGTAATATTCTAGTATTCTAGAAACACTGGAAGCAGCAGCCCTATGGGAAACCAGACAAAGCACTGGTCTGGCCCAGAAGACACAGCAACCCACCTGTCTCTTTCCCCAAAGTCCTCAAGTGCTGGGACTAAAAACATGGGCTACCGTTCCTATCTAGACTATTTTTTTGAGACTGGGTCTCACCTGATCCAGGCTTGCCTCAAAGTCGCTATGTAGCCAGGTATAACATTAAATTAATCCTCTTGCCTCTGCCTCTCAAATTGTGGGGTTACAGGTGTGTGTGCCCAGGCCTGGTAAATGGAGTGCTGAGGACCCAACCAGGATTTTGTGCAAACCACATAAGCACTCTACCGGGGAGCTACCTTCCCAGTTCCAGACTTAAATACACTATGATTTTAGAAGTAGGGGAAATGGCATGATGCTACTGTCTCTTGCCTTCTGCAGGAGCTGGTCCGGCAGCGAGGAGTCCTAGAACACACAGAGAAGATGGTAGACAAGATGGATCAGGATTTGAAGATGAGCCAGAAACATATCAACAGCATTAAAAGTGTGTTTGGAGGATTTATCAACTACTTCAAATCCAAACCAGTAGAGCCTCCACTGGAGCAGAATGGCAGCATCGTCTCTCAGCCCAACAGCAGGTGAGTGGAACATCTGCATCTGGATACATAAAACAGTAGAGACAGGCTCTGTGGAAGAAGCCAAGGCTTTCAGACCTCATCAGTGCCATCAAGGTATCCTGAAACCCTGTGCTTACTCATGGGAAGAGACCTACTCATCTTCAGGCTTGCTAAAGAGAAATCACTCCCCAGCTGTTCATCTAATTTATGAAAAATACTTTAGTCTTAGAGAGTTTAATCACTAAAAATATGACTCTTTTTACAGACTGTTTCTTTATCAAGTCATTCCAAAAGCCAGTCATAGTGGAGTCTATGTGTAACTTCAGCTGTTGAAGAGACTGAGGCAGGTAGATAGCAAGTTCAAGGCAACCTCAGGCAATTAAGCAAAGCCTCTTTTTAGGAAAAAAAAAAAATACTAATAAGCCAGATGTCACCGTGCATACTTAATTAAGATCAGAGCAACTCAGGAAACTAAGGCAGGAAGACCTAGATATCAACACCAGCCATGAGACTGGTCTTACAAAACACAACAAAACAAAGAAATCTGTATGGCTGGGCTGCTGATATAGCTGCTCAGGTAAATGTGCTTACTGCCAAGCCTGGTGACCTGGGTGGGAACAGAATAAACTCCCAACAGCCTTTTCTCTGATCTCCACACATATTTACACACACAAAATAAATGTAATTCGATGTATTGTACATGCATACAAACATGTACATATATAGGCTAGGAATGTGGTATATTAGTAGAAGGCTTGCCTAGCCTGTGAAGTCCTAGATTCCATCCCCACCACACACAAAAAAAAATCATACATGCATAATGTTACACAAATATATATTAGTATGTAAAAATATCCTTTCCATCTTCTCTATAGGTAATCTGTCCATTAATTTATACTTTAAAGTTATACATTGTTTACCTCAAAAAATTTTTGAGCAGAAATACAGTGAAATCATACAAAAAGGCATAGCAGGCTTCACAACCTTATGTTCAGTTATAAAGCAGGACTGGGGAGATGGCCCAGCAGCTAAGGGCACTTGTTGCTCTTACAGAAGACCAGGGTCCAGTTGCCAGCACCCACATGGTGGCTCACAGTTTCAGGGAATTCAGTCTCCTCTTCTGATCTCTGAGCACCAGACACACACATGGTACACATACATACATGTAGGCAAACATAAAATAATCTTTTTTTTTTTTTAAAAAAAAGGTATAAGACAAAAGAATTGGATATTGTTAAAACACATGACCGCTATTCATACCTCAGGCCATTTTTGTGTTAGGTTGCTTTGTTTTGTTTTGTTAATTTTGTGTGTGTTTGTGGGGTAGGGTAAATGCAAGGCACAGCCATGTGCAGAACACTTACAAGAATCCATTTTCTTATCCTCCCATGTGGGTCCTAGAGATGGAGCTCAGGCTTTTCTATTTAACAGCAAGCATTTACCTGCTGAGCTGGCTCTCACGGGCTCTTGCTTTGTTCCATTTTTGAGAAACAGTTGCAAGTAACCAAGGCTGGTCTTAAACTCATCATTTAGCTGAAGATGATCTTGAACTTCTGATCCAAATTTTAGAATACGGTCTTAGATCTCTTCCACATAAACAGCTTGAAATGCTGTTTTAGTAGTAACCGTGGATATGTGGGTTATGGATGTAGCTCCATTAGCAGAATGTTTGCCTCGCATTCTGGAAGTGCTGGCCTAAATCTCCAGCACCACTTAAACTGGGCATGGGAAAAAGACACACAGGTAGGACCCCAGTACAAGCTACTGTTTTCTCATTCCACACTGTCAGCCTCTAACAGTAGAACACTGGCAGCGGAAGGGCTACTGGGACCATTGCAGCAAGTACATCTGTCAGGGGGTCCACACCGCTCTCAGTTGCTCTGAGCTGACAACTCTGCAGAGCTGTATTCTTCACAGAAGAATTTCTGAGCAGCTTCAGATCATTTAAAAAGCCAGCTCTAGACCTTTGGCAAGCGTGTCGCTTCCCAAAGCTGTTCTTGATGTTGAGGTCACTTAGCCTCTTGTGGTAGAAGTAGATGTAGCACCTGAGGGAGAGGTGGGGTTTCTCCTGTGTCCCAGGCTGTCCTGGAACTAACTCTGTAGACAAGACTGGGCTGGGACTCACAGAGATTCTCCTCTTGCCTCCGCCTCCCAAGTGTTGGAATTAAAGGTGTGTGCAGCTACCACCCTCATTGCCTTGTTAAGAAATTAAATTTTTTTAAAAAAATTATTAATGTATATGAGGATGGAATGACAACTCAGTGGTTAAGAGCACTGGCTGCTCTTTCAGAGCCAGTTGAATTCCCAGCATTGTCATGGTGGCTCACAACCACTAGTGACTACAGTTCTAGCGCCTCTCAGAGCACTAGGCATGCACATTATACACAGATATACATAGGCAAAATGTGCATAAACTAAAAATAAAAGTCTAAAAATATTTTTAAAAAGTTATTTGGACATAGTGGCATATGCCTTTAATCCCAACACTTGGGAGGCAGAGTTCAAGGCCAGCCTGCTCTACATAGTGAGTTCTAGGACAGCCAGACTCATATACTGAGATCATGTCCTGGGTAGGGCTCAGTGGTTAAGAGATCCTGTCTTTAAAAATATATATATAGTATTAATATATTTGGGTGTATGTTTCCATGTGACCACAGGTGTGAATGCTGGCATGTAGGTGTCGTGCACATGCATGTGACCACGTGTTCATGCTGGTGTGTAGGTGTCATGCACATGCATGTGACTACATGTGCATGCTGGTGTGTAGCTGTCATGCACATGCATTTGGAGGCCAGAGTACCACATCAAGTGTCTGCCTCAGTTAGTTCTCTACTTCCTGGGTTTTTTAAGACTTTTATTTGTGGGGCAGTGGTGGTGCATGCTTTTAATCCCAACTCTCGGGAGACAGAGGTAGGTGGACCTCTTGAGTTCAATGTGAGCCTGGTCTACAGAATCAGTTCCAGGACAACCAGGGTTACACGGGTTACACAGAGGAAACCTATCTCAAAAACAAAACAACAAAAAAAAGTATTTTTATTTTATATGTATGGTTTTTTTGTCTACATGTGTGTGAGTGTGTAGACCTGATACCCATGAGGCCAGAAGATACTAAGTCCCTTAGAACTGGAGTTAAAGATGGTTGCCTACCATATAGGTACTGAGAACAGAAGCCAGGTCCTCTACAAAAGCAACAAATACTTTTAACTTCGAGGACATCTTTCTAACTGTTGGAGTCTGGGAGTCACCACACAAACCACAAATCCACCAATCTCAGTTAAGCAAGAATAGTTTTTTGAACACACATCATAATACTAGACATCCAGGTCCACAAGAAGGAAAAACCTAATTGTGGCAACAGTCTGTCCTCAGGTCAGGCTTTTTATAGGAAAAACCAAGTTCAAAAGTTCAGTGTCAGCCGGGCAATGGTGGCGCACACCTTTAGTCCCAGCACTTGGGAGGCAGAGACAGGTGGATTTCTGAGTTCGAGAGTTCGAGGCCAGCCTGGTCTACAGAGTGAGTTCCAGGACAGCCAGGACTACACAGAGAAACCCTGTCTCCAAAAACCAAAAAAAAAAAAAGTTCAGTGTCAGCTATGCGTAATTACTTGTGGGAATCAGGTTCAGAGAACCTGAGCTCCATTTCACCTTATGAACAGAATGGAGACGGAATACAAAATGGCTGCAGTTGTGTTAAAAGAAGCCGGCCTCAACACGAACCTCATGCCTTGTCTTTTGAGGTAGGCTTTTCTGCTGAACCTGGAGCTTACCAGTTGGCTAGGCTGGCTAGCCAGTAAGTTGTAGGGATCTTTACTTGTTTATACCCCATCCTGTCCCCAGAGCTGGGTTGACAGAGACCTGAAACAGTGCACTTGCCTTTTTATGTAGGCACTGGGGATCCAAACCCAGGTCCTCAGAGTTGTGCAACACACTACAGACTGAGCTATCTCCCCAGTACCATCCCCCTAGCTTCAAGAAATAAAATTCTTAATCAGACTGAAAGGTAAGTTTCCAGCCAGTTTGTGGTGGTGCGTACTTATAATCCCAGCACTTGGAATAGTGAGCTAGAGGGTAGCCTAGGTTATAGAGTGACAGCCTGTCTCAAATAGCAACAAAAGGGCTGGAGAGATGGCTCAGCGGTTAAGAGCACTGACTGCTCTTCCTGAGATCCTGAGTTCAATTTCCAGCAACTACATGGTGGCTCATACCATCTGTAACAGGATCTGATGCCCTCTTCTGCTGTGCCTGAAGACAGTGACCCAGTGACCATATACTCATATATATAAAAATAAATAAATATTAAAAAAAAAAAAAGCAACAAAAGAGCAGCCAAAGAGGTGGCTCAGTGCAGCTTCCAGCATCCATGTGATGGTTCATAACTACCCGTAACTCCAGTTACAAAGAATCTAATGACCTTTTCTGGGTTCTTATGTGGTGTACACACACACACACACACACACACACACACACACAATCACTATCTTAAATTTTTCTTTTAAATTTATTTTATGTGTATACGTGTTTGCCTACATGAGTGTATGTGCAGCATGTGCGTCCCTGGTGCCTGCAGAGGTCAGAAGGCATCAGATCTCCTGGAAGTGTAGATATAGATGGTTTTAAGGCACCATGTGGGTACTAGGAACTGAACTCAGGTCCTCTACAGGAATAAAATGAACTCTTCACCACTGAGGCCTCTCACCAGCCCCACAAAAATAACAATCAGTAAAGCAACAGAAAGAGAGAGGGAGGGAAATGCTACCTGGGCTGGATCCTACATGCCAAAGGCAGTGCATGTGCAGTCACAGCAGTGAGCTCTGGGTTGATGTTTTAGGGCCAGCCTGGGTTATCTAGAACCCTGGGTTTCAATTGTTTCTTGTATGTGTATTGGGGGGTGATTTTTATTAAGCTGTTTTGTTTTAATCTGTGCCTCATTGAGTATGTCTGTTGCATGTGTGTGGATACTCACAGAAGTCAGACAGAAGTCAGCTCCATGGAGCTACTTACAAGTGGTTGTAAGCGTCCCAGCATGGGTGCTTAGATCTGAACTTGGATTTTCTGGAAGAGAAACAAGTGCTTTTAACTGCTTAGCCGTCTCTCCAGCCCTGAGGCTCTGGGTTGGTTTTTCTTTTTTAAAGACCTTAAGTTTCGAAACTGATATTACCTATCATTCAGGGCAGGTGGTCATATGTAAACGCCATACATTGTTTATGACTATAAATAAGTGACGGGCTTTATGTTATGTATATTTAATCACAATTTTTAAAATGTAGGACCAGATAAGGTACAAACCTGTAACCCTAGCACTTGGGAGGTAGAGCCAGAAAGATCAGGAATTTAAAGTCAGCAGCAGCAGCTGCTACATGGTGAGGCTGAGGCCAGATTGGACTACTTAAAAAAAAAAAGGTAAGGAAAATAGATAGTGGGTCAGTTTTGAGTAATTTGTTGATCCTTTCATCAAAGGATACCCACTTGGTCATTTCATACACTTTTTATCCACCTGGCTCTACTCCTTGTCCTTTGTGAGGTCTTCCTCAGCCCACTGTGTGGCCTACACTATTCTCAGGATATTCCAGAGAGGCCAGCAAAGGAAAGAAAGCATTGGCTATCCAACACAAAAGGATCATGGGAAGACAGGTGACACTGCTGTGCACACACAGGCACAGAAATGACACTGTCATGGGTGTTTCTCCTCTGATGTTTCTTTTTTTTTCTTTTTCTTTTTTTTTTTTTTTAAGATTGAAAGAAGCCATAAATACAAGTAAAGATCAGGAAAGCAAGTACCAAGACAGCCACCCTCACCTCAGAAGGCTACATGATGCAGGTAACTAAAGATGGCTGGATCCTTGTGGGGATCGGTCTTCGGGTTTAACCTGAAGCACCGTATGGGGACGGTCACTTCTCTACAATAAGGGGCAGAGGCTCCAATATCTAACATCCCACATGCTGAGCAGTGACATCAGGGACACAGTGTTCTTGGGGAACCATAGGTATGTGTTTCAGCGGGGTTCTTCCCTACCTCACTGCCCCATGGAGTCTGAGTAACGAAGTGGGAACCTGTATCCCATTGAACATGAACCTTCTACTGTTGTAGCTCTGAGAAATTCTAGCAGTAAAAAAAAAAGCCAACTGTAAAGCTGGCCATGGTAGACCACAACTATAATCCCAGCACTAGTGAAATAGAAGCAGGACAATCAGTGTTTAAGGCTAGCCTCTGTTGCATGTTGAGCTTGCGGGCAGCCTTGGATATATGAGACTCTGCCTCAACAAACAAAACAAGGAGCCTCCTCCCCCCCCCCCCAAAAAAAAAAACCCAAGTAGTAGGAACAGTGCTTGTTCTAAGTAAAATGCCTCTTAGAGGTGTTTACCTCTACCCAGGGCTCATGAATATGTTAAAGGCAAAAGAATATGCTTGTGTACATAACTTATTCTGAGGTACCAGGCTGAGTCCATTTTCAATATGTGGGTCTTTCACAGTTGGAAAATAAGCTAGGCATGGTACCACATGCTCATAGTCCCAGCACTTAGGAAGCTAAGGCAGGAAGAGTATGAGTTTTAGTTTGGGGTCATTCTAAATTACATAACCAGACTCTTAGAAAACCAAACAAACAAATAAAAATTCCAGGGTTTTACTCAGAGTTCTCTAGAGGAAGTGCATCCGAATATAATGAATTAGCATACAATAGTATCAGTAGCATAGTAACACTGAGAGCTGAGAACCCTGTACTTACTCAGTCCTTGAGGCTAAAGGCCTCAGCAGTGAGAGGGGTTCTACAACAGACACCTCTTCCCAGGACTCAACCACCAGTGCTTACTGGGTCCACAGGCTGGGCTTCAGTCATCCCAGTCTACTGACAGAATCCTGGAGGTTCTGCAAAGCCTGCTCTCAAGTTGAAAATGAAAGCTTGGAAATGCTGGTTTCCTTGTCAGTGAGGCAATCAGCAGCCTAGTAACATGACAAATCCATTTTATCTGGGTTTCCAGAAGATGCTGCATGGGAGATCTTCCCACATCAGTTAAGGCAATTTGGATAGTTCTTCGGGGATCAAGTAGTTCTAATTTGTGGTAAATTGTCATTAACACCAGCCATAATACCAGGCATGTTGGTATATCTGAGCATAGAAGCAAGATAGCTAAAGGCTATCTTCCATTACCTAGAAAGTTCAGGGCCAATGAGATACATGAGACTCCTGGGTGGTGGTGGCTCATGCCTTTAATCCCAGCACTTGAGAGGCATAAGCAGGTGGATCTCTGAGAGTTTAAAGCCAGCCTGGTCTGCAGAGTAAGTTCTAGGACAGCCAAGGCTACACAGAGAAACCCTGTCTCAAAAAGACAGACGATAGATAGATAGATAGATAGATAGATAGATAGATAGATAGATAGATAGATAGATGGATGGATGGATGGATGGATGGATGGATGGATGGATGGATAGATGGATAGATGGATAGATGGATAGATAGATGGATGAATAGATGAGATACACGAGATATCTCAAAGGAGACAAAGCTAAAATCCCCAGTCCTCATGTAACTGCCATTCTGTGTTCTTGTAATCCCAGAATTGCAGGGCAGAGGCAAGTGGATCCCAGCAACTGGCTGGCTGGCTAGTGTAGCCAAAATAATGAGCTTCAGATTTTACAAGATGCTGTCTTAGAAACTAAGGCAACTTTTTCATTGCTGTGGTAAAATACCAAAACCAAGGCAACTTTTTTTTTTTTTTTCGAGACAGGGTTTCTCTGTATAGCCCTGGCTGCTCTGGAACTCACTCTGTAGACCAGGCTGGCCTCAAACTCAGAAATCCACCTGCCTCTGCCTCCCAAGTGCTGGATTAAAGGCGTGCGCCACCGCTGCCCGGCTCCCAAGGCAACTTTTAAAGAAAGTGTTTGATTGAGTTTATAGCTCCAGAGGGTTAGAGTTCATAATGGCATCAGGACCAGTTAAGAGCTCACATTTTGAACACAAGCAGGGGACAGAGAGAGCACTGGTGATGGTGGGAGACTTTAGAAGCCTCAGACCCCATGCCACACAACATACCTCGAAAAGGCCATACCTCCTAATCCTTCTCAAACAGTTTCATCAACTGGGAACCAAACCTGAACCTATAGAGACCATTTTCCTTCCACCCAGCACAATGGAGAGCAACAGAGGAAGACTTTCCGTGTTCTCTGACTTCCCTGTGATTGTGCATGGTCACTCCTGACTTCCCTGTGATTGTCCATGGTCACTCCTGACTTCCCTGTGATTGTGCATGGTCACTTGCACACATAAGTGCATATACACCACACATGAACAAATAAAAGACAGACACACCTACAGTCCCGGCCCTCAGGAGATAGAAGAAGGGTTGGTGAAACTTTGAGTCTAACATGGGCAGCAAAGTGAGTCCCAAACTTAGCTAGGAAAACATGGGGAAACTTTGCCTCGGAGACAGAGGCAGAGGCAAAGGCAGAGAGACCTGATGAAGAAAGAGTCAGAAGTCAAGACAGGCTGATGTAAACAGAGTTTATCCTGGAAAGGCACAAACCAAGGGAGAAAGAGAAAACTGAAATGTACAAGGCCCAAGGAAAGCCGTTCCACTGGTATGCCCTGGAGAAGTAGAAAAATATCCTGCATCCACAGATACAACTGGAGAGCATTAGAGGCTGCTCTCATTGTGTGGTACACGCTAAAAGAGTAAAAGGAAATGGACATTTTATAGAGAGATTGGCTTCAGTAGTTAGTGCTGGAGGAGGAAATGCAGTCAGACCCTTTGTTTCACAAGTCCCATGTCTTTCAATTCAACAAATTGATGACGTAAGATATTCAGAAAACAAAACAAAAATTTTTAGCCCAGTATGGTGGCATCCAAGCACTGTAGCCAAGGCAGGAGGCAAATGCCACACTAAACTGTACAAGATTTTCATTCTTCCCATTAGTTCCTAAACAATAAAGCAACCATTTACAAAGCACTTACTCTGCATTAAATATTGTGTGATACAGAAATGATTTCATATATGAGAGGTACATTGAGACTGTATTACTACACAAGGAATTTGGGCATCCCCAGCTTTCAGCATCTCAGGAGGATCTTAGAACAAACCACACACAGATAGTCAGGGACAACTGTATGCTAAACTTACAAAGGGACGTTTCCCCCAAAGACTGGTGACTGGGGATGGTGGTTTACATGTAATCCTACCACTTGGGAGATTGAAGCAAGAGGATGGCCATGAGTTTGAGTCCAGACTGCGACACTGTGAGAAACTGTCTGAGAGAAAGAAAGAGAAAGAGACAGACAGACAGAGACAGAGAGAGACAGAGAGAGAATGAGAGAGACGGAGACAGAAAGGGGGAGAGGGAGGTGATAGCACACAGCTTGGGAGATAGAGGCAGAAGGATCAGTAGTTCAAGGCCACTCTCAAATGCATACCAAGTTCAAGGCCATCCTGAGCTGCATATGACCCTGTCTTAAAAGAAGAGGGAGAGGAAGAATATTTCTGAATATGTTTAGAAATGAAATTTTAAGGAATATTTCTTAGGCAAATATACATTGCCTAGTATTTCCTTTTTGCTTGTTTAAGTGAAATGGCAACATAAAAATAAATTTCCAGGGCTGGAGAGATGGCTCAGTGGTTAAGAGCACTGACTGCTCTTTCAGAAGTCCTGAGTTCAAATCCCAGCAACCACATGGTGGCTCACAACCATCTGTGATGGGATCTGATGCCTTCTTCTGGTGTGTCTGAAGACAGCAACAGTGTACTCAAATACATAAAATAAACAAATAAATCTTAAAAAAAAAATACTCAATCTCAATTGTGTGAAGTAACTCCATTTCCTTTGCTTCCTGTGAGACAGTCTTACTATAGACCCCTGGCTGGCTTTGAATTCATGGTCCTGTTGCCTTAGTCTTCCAAGTACTGGGACTTCAGCTGCAAACCACCACACCAGACATCAGTGTTGATCTTTGCTTTTTTGTGTGTTTTGTATGGTTTGATATGATTTTCTTTTCGTTCGTTTTATTTTTTATCTTTTGAGATTGAGTCCTGTTTAGCCCAGTCTGGTCTCTAATTCATCTTGCTCTGTGTGCTAGGATTACAGGCATGCACCACTACACATGGTAATTTTTAAACCTGTCTCTGCCAGCTCTGCCAGGTGTAGCATATCCCTATAGTCCCAGCTATTTCAGAAATAACTTAAGCACAGAGTTTGAGGTAAGCTTGTGCAACATAACACATATTCACCCACATACACACACATATCCACACATACACACATGTTCACACATGTACACACATACACATGTACACACACACAGAGAGAAGAATTTGTGGGATACCTCGACAGAAGAGTACTTGCCTAGCTTGCACAAGGCCTGGCTCCAATACTCAGGATCAAAAAAACTAAAATAATGAAACAGCCTGTCTCCTGGAGCTTGCCTGTGAGCCTGCAGCTTTGCATTGACAGTTCCTCTGTTATATACATCTTTTTACATATCTAACCAAGTGACTTGTAAGTTGAGGGTCCTTGATGTGTTAGTGTTGGGGGCCAGCTGGGACTCAGACCAGTCATCTCCAGCCTGTAAACCTGTCCCACTCCTACTCCTGTCCTCTGCATAGCTGCAGAGCCTCTCATCACCTTCCTCCCACCCCTTAGTCCTTGCCTGGTGTTCCTGGGGACAGATCCCTAGGACAGATCCCTGGGGACAGATATATCCCTAGGACTTCTGAAAAGAAAGAATGGACCAATTTCACGGAGCTGCAACAACTCAGTTAACTGTCCCTCTGGTGTTTTCTCAGAACTAGACTCAGTGCCTGAAGGACCTACCTCTACTGTGAGTTCTGAGATTTACCCAAAGAACTCGAGCCTTCGAGCTTATCACCAGAAGATTGACAACAACCTAGGTAAGTTTGGGAGCTGCAGCAACCTCCAGCCAGTTTGTGCTGAGCACAGCATGAGCACTCAGCATTGACCCTTCACTTCGTCCTTGATGCATGTCACACCCTCCAGCCAACTCACTGCCTCACATCTCGGGAATCTGTCCACACCTCCATTCCTGTGTTCAGTCCAGCCAAGCCATCCCCACTGCTTATGTGAATCCAGACCAGACCTAGGCGTCTCTGGGGCTTAAGTGCATCTAGGATAAAGCCACACAGCTTTTGCATGGGCGCTAAGGATCTGAACTCAGGTCCTCATGCTTGCTCAGCAAGTACCCATACCCACTGAGGCCTGTCCCCAGAACCAACCATGCTGCTTTATCTCTGCCTTCTTTTCCTGTCCTTACTGTCCTCAAACCCAAGAAGTTTCATGAGGCATGGGTGGCTCCTTACTTTTATTTTCCAGGAAACACAAGGCCACAGGTTTCAAAGACCTCAAGAAACATAGTATGCCAGGCTTAGTCCCAGCTGCCTGGATGACTAAGACAGGAGGATTGCAAGTTCAAGGCCAGCCTAGAAAATCTGTGAGCTCCAGTCTTGGAATAAAAACTATAAAGAGCCTAGGGTTATGACTAAGTGTCAGTGTGCTTTCCTAGCATATGCAAGCCTCTGTGCTTGGTTCTCCAGCACCCAGGTGAAAAATGCCGGATGGACCAGTGACCCCTGCAGACCCCTGTAGTCTTCTCAAGCAGAAGAAGCAGGGAGGTCTCTGTGGCTTCAAGGCTCAGTGAGTTATAGCCAGAGCTATATATCAAGACTATACTTAAAAAAACAAACCCTTAACAGTGGTTATCTGGAAGGAGGATATACACAGTGGCCTCTACCTACATTATCCACATATTACCATATAGTAAGTATGTTTCTTTTCACTTCTGTATATTGTGAGAAACATATGCTACAAGCTGGGGCACACAGCTTCTTAGGCAGGACGATGTAATCCAGATGCCACTAAATGTCCCAAGAGGCACTGTGACTGCCTATCATTTCCTTCTCACAGATGAGCTGTCTATGGGATTGGGCCGCCTGAAGGACATAGCCTTGGGAATGCAGACGGAAATTGAAGAACAGGACGACATCCTTGACCGACTAACAACCAAAGTGGACAAGTTAGACGTCAATATAAAAAGCACAGAAAAAAAAGTCCGGCAACTCTAGAGAAATGGAGAGGAACTCTGCTCCATCTTGATGAGAAGATTTAGAAGGCTCTCTTAAATTCTTATGGAATGTCACTTATTACATAGTATGTAATGTAACACGTTTTCAAATGTGGGTCTTTGAAATTTTAGTTTCAATGGGGGAAAATGTGTGTTCCACATTTGATAAGACCAACACCTCTAAAGTTCTGTGAGCTGTCTGCTATGTTTTAGTCCAAGCAGAGTAATTGTGGACACCTTGAGCCTTTGATTAATATGCTAGAAGGAGAAAAAGTACTCCATTTCTGATTTCATGTGTGCCTGCAAAGCCATGGGCAGAGCGTCAGTAACTTCTGTCTTTCATTTACCCATTTGTTATGTTTCTCACTCTGAGGCCTTACTGTGAATTCAGATGTGAAGGGACCCTGGGTTTGTGGCAGAAGGAAGAGTCTTTCCACATCTTTATATTCAAGTCTTGTGGACATGCCTGCACACACACTGAGCACATGGTAGCTCTCTCCTGAAAAGGATCCATGTTCCATACAGAACTGAAATGTGTTGCCTTCATTGTCCCTACCCTCATCTTCTGTTCTTGTCCTGCACTTTAGCAGAAGGACTCAGAGCAGACCTGTTAGATATGACATCTGGGAAGGTGTAGGAATGAACACGCCCCTCTTCACCCGTGTTCTCACTCCCGTCTCTGGTGGGGACTTTTTCCACTGGCTCAAAGCCAACTGGTTGGTTGGTTTGTGTGCATGGAGTATTGCATAAAAACCTCACACTAAGCCTCTGGGAATAGAACCAGAGGCCATGTTTATTTGGTGCCTGGAGTCTTCTCATCCATCCCAGACTCCTATGCATTCTCCATTTCTACAAAGTGCTCCAGTTAGTTTTAGGACTTAGACTCCACAAATGATGCTAACCTTCTGTCTGTTAGATGACTGGACCAAGAGGCCTGGAGACACCTTAGCTAGCTAGTATCCACTCCCTTCAGTTTCCAAAAGAAAATATTTAGAAGCATTAATTGAAATTGATTCCTGAAAGAAGTTTTCCTTGTGTTAGTACTGCCAGTAAAGTCACTGAAGCCACAGAACACCTGACTATCTTAAAATCAAACTCATGTATTTTGAAGAAGGTAAAGGAGGCTTTTTAACTAGTAAGAAATGTCAAAATCTAAAATGCCAGTGCCTTCTTGCCTTAAAACATGGCTTTTGTGCCATTTGGGGATTCTTCCTTTAGCATCTGGAATCTGTAGTATTTTAAAGCAAAGCAAACAGCAGGGCTGTGGATACAGCTCAGTGGTCAGTTATCTACCCTTCTCTTTTGGACCCTGGGGTTGATCTCCACCATTGGTGTGAGGATTAATAAATGGGGTAACAGGATTATTGCTGTTCTTGTAGCATTGTGTACACACTCTGGTCACAAAATAACCAACCTTCCTGAAAATACAGCAGCCACAGGCAGAAAGGGCCAAATCTGAAGCTCTGACTGAAGTGGACCTCTGAGTTCCAGGCCAGCCAGGACGCTATACTAAGACCTGTCTCAAACAATATAGAGAAACTAATTCAGATGTATTTCCACTCCTAATTGCTTTTGTTTTTTTTCTATAAAACCTTTCACGTGTTATAATAACTGTTCCTCTTTTTCACCATCAGGCATAGCCTTGTAAAAATTAATCAGTATACCTCAATCCCAAGAAATTTACACCTGAGAATGCCTTCCACAGACATCCTAGTGTGAATCAGCTGACTTGAAGCACAGGGACATTCTGTGTACCTTTCTTTGTTTTGCTAAATTAATGAAGTCAATCACTCCTTTCCCAATCTTTTTTTAACTCCATGAATGTGAAACCTGTCTTCCTGTAAACCATTAGAGGTCCTCATCCATTTGTCCTGTTCCTCAGACTCTCTGGTTCACTGAAGTTGTCCCTTGGAGACTGGCTGGAGCAGGTGCTGCCTTACAAAGCGGCACAGATAACAAAGGAGAACCTCCAGAGCTAGATCTGCTGGCTGATCATCACAGCACTTAGGCCGAGTCAGAAGGGTGGCCATGAGTCCAGGCTCAGGGTGAGAGCTTGTCTCAAGAGAATCAGTGGCTGTGGGGGCAGGTGAGTGGGATAGGGCTGGGAAGGAGGGGAGGAAAGACTCACTCCCGTACTCCGGCCTAGGAAGGGTTAGTGTTGGAGAGGTGGCGGGTACGAGTGAAATGGACTTTATGTATCACAGACCAGTGAACATATCCTTGCCATATGAGGTCTGCAAGACAGACTGAAACACCTTGCCTTCAGAAAGGCATTTGTAACCATAGGTTAGCTATATGCTATGTGTACTACCAAAACATTGCATTGTCCTCTGGAGAAGACTAACAGTTACTGATATGTAAGGCAGCAGCATTCGAGTGACCTCTTCAATTGGTTTTTCTCATTCTGTAGAAGAGGCCTGAAGTTCATTCATGGAACAAGTAAACCAAGAGTGGAGCGTCTTAATTTCCCTTTCTCTTCTTATAAATGTACAATTTTAAGTGTATAACGTATCACTTTAGTAAAAACATTCTACTTTGCTTGAATAAGCCCTTTTCTTCAGAGGAGTGTCTGTGTGTGTGTGTGTGTGTGTGTGTGTGTGTGTGTGTGTGTGTGTGTTAGACAGAAGAAGGGATGGGAGGGAGGCAGGGAGAGAGGGAAGGGAGCCTCAGATGTTGTTCCTTTGGCCCTGCTCACCTGCTCTCACTGACAGGAATTCACCAGCAAACCCCAAGCCCCCTTTTCTCCTGCCCTTGTGCTGGAGTTTCCAGCACACATTGAAGATGTGTGTGTTTGTGGTCAATAAGCTTTCTTATGTGGGTCCTAAGATCTGTGGGCTGAGCGCAGGTCCCCACGCCTGTCACTTGGCAAGTCACATGAGCTGTCTAGCTTCCCCAGCCCTATCTAGGACATTTTTTAAGAGTTTTACTTTTTGTTTCTTTTTTTATATTTATGTGTATGAGCTCCAGGGGACATGGAATTGAGGACAGCTCTTAGGAATTGGTTCTCTCCTTCCACCCTAAGGTCATCAGGCTTAGAGGCAAAGGCTTTTACCTGCTGGGCCATTTTGCTGGCCATTCTGTAGGAGTTTTGAAGTTTACTGATGTTAAGCGTCTTCAAGTCCAGTGAATGAACCGTGTTATATGCAAAGTGGTAACCTACCGGTGAGCATGATTGTCGCGTCCACCCTCGACCAGCAAGGAAGACGCAACGCACGAGCTCTTCTCCAGCAGTTTATTCAGGACCTTGAACAATCTTCTGACCCCGGGGCCCACACCACACGGCCTTAAATACTTTTATACCAGCCAACCTCTAAAAGCCACGTCTGCAAAGCGGATAGGCCACTCGTATGTGGAAGCAACCGGATGCACCAAGCTTAGCCAAATAAGGACTTGTCTACCATGGAGAGCACTCACTTCCTACCATCTCAGGACACGGCGCATCGCAGCTCTCCACACATGATGGCACATTCCTGCAATTGGATCACATGGAGAGTGGGGGCAGGAAGATGAAGAGTTCAAGGTCACCCTCAGCTACCAGCAAATGGCAAAAAAAAAAAAAAAAGGGCAGAGAGAAAAGTAAAGTCATCATTAAAGGCACTCATTTGGCAGGAAGTGAACAGGGTCTTTGTCCTGTCAGCTTTACGTCCACCCCCCCACCCTTCAGCTCAGAAGATGAGCATAATCCATAGGACAGGAGGTTGGTTTTTAATCAGAACCTATCTACATGTCACTATCAGATCATGGGTGGAGGGAACTCTCCTTAGTTAATGTGTTTGGTCCTTAAGGCCACATATAGGAGCTCTCTAAGTTGAGGATAGCCAGGTGGTAAGGCATGTTTTTGGCACATAGAAGACCATGGGTTCAATCTCCACCACCACTAGTATGGAAAAGATAAAAGTGAGTCAGAAACTGAATATCATCAGAAAAACCGTGTGCAGCCTGCCAGCCATTGTCTCACCCTCTGCAGTTTTCTAGTTTGCTCAAACAAGCCTTTTTCTTCAGGGCATGTGTGTGTTTCTGAATTTGGAGATTGGAATGATAGCATAGTCATTAAGAGAACTGGCTTCTCTTCCAGGGAACCCAGGTTCAGTTCCCAGCACCCATGTGGTAGTTTACAACCATCCAGTCTGAAGAGATCTAGCACTCTTCCCGCCTCCATAGGCACATCCACACAAAGGGTACACAGACAGACATCCAGGCAAAACATACGCATAGGTTTTCTTTTCCCGAATTTGTTTTTAATTTCCGAGCTATCTATCTCAGTAAATGCTACCACCTCTCCTCTATGCAAGTGGCTTAAGATGGAATGTGTAGCATTACCAGTTTCACTACAGTAAACACGGAGAGGAGGTGACATAGAGCTTGTGCTCACAGCTCTCTCTCAAGGCTTGAGTCTAAGTCTAAAAGGGCCACACCATCAGGGCCTCTTTTAAAAAGTGTGTGTGTGTGTGTGTGTGTGTGTGTGTGTGTGTGTGTGTGTATGTGTGTATGTGTGGTGTTGTTGTTGTGCCCCAGCATAATACATGTGGAGGTGTCAGGACAATGTTCAGAAGTTGGTCTCTCCATCATTCGGGTCCCAGAGATCAAACTCAGGTGGTCAGGCTTGGAGGCAGGTGCCTTTACACAGTGAGCTCTCTCACCAGCCTGAGCCTTCTGACTTTAGGGTAGAAAATTTCTTGATTTTTTAAATCACAAAAGATTTAAGTGTCCCAAGCTGGGCTGGAGAGATGTGTGTTAAGATCAGCAGTTAAGATCATCTGGCTGTTCTTCCAGAGATCTTGAGTTCAATTCCCAGTAATCACATGGTGGGTTGAGATTTGGTGCCCTCTTCTGGTGTGCAGGCATATGTGCAGGCAAAATACTATATACACAATAAATAAATCTTTAAAAAAAAAAATGTGCCAGGCCCATAAGCTAAATGGTCTCTATAGCACTGTTGGTGTCTCATAGTAGCACAAAACAGCCCCAAAACACAAGTGAGAGTGCCTATGTCCCAGTCAGACAGGGTGAATAGCATGAAAATTGAATTTTATTTCACAAACTATTATTTGTTTTCCATCCACTTAAAAATATCAGAGTCGCCGGGCAGTGGTAGCTCACGCCTTTAATCCCAGCACTTGGGAGGCAGAGACAGGCGGATTTCTGAGTTTGAGGCCAGCCTGGTCTACAGAGTGAGTTCCAGGACAGCCAGAGCTACACAGAGAAACCCTGTCTCGAAAACCCCCCCAAAAAAAAAATACATATACATATATACACATATATACACATATATACACATATATACACATACACACACACACACACACACACACACACACATATATATATATACCAGAATCTTTCATTTCATGGGAGATGAATGATGCAAGAGAGTCATAGTTTGTTACCTCCTGTTTACATCTGTTTATGAATGATGCAAGAGAGTCATAGTTTGTTACCTCCTGTTTACACTTAAGAGGTAGGCCTGTGGGAGAGGGAAAGGCCAGTGTGGTCTGCAGGCCCCTTTTGGGGCTACTGCCAAGGAAGAGGATGGGACAGGCATCACTTCCACTGCTCTGTCTCCATCTTTGCTTGATTGGTCTAGGAATTACCTAGGGACCTAAAACCACCTCCAGGATAGGCCAGGATCTCTCTGTTTGTCAGAGGAGTAGCTTGTGTGTTGTAAAAAGCTGTCTTCTGGATGTGGCATGCCTTGCACTTGGTGGTCATCCTTACAATACTTGCACACAGTTAAGTCTGCCAACATCACATCATGAGACAGGGAAGAGCTCATTAGACTTCCAGAGGACCACTGACATCTAGGGAAGGGCTGTTGCTCTCTCCAGTGCTGTGGCTACTGAAAAGTTGATGAGCTGGGTTTTGTCAACTTGACACAAGCTAGAGTCAGTTGGGAAGAGGAAAGCCCAAAAGTATTGCCTATACAGGTTGACCTCTGGACATGTCTGTGGGACATTTTCTTGATTAATGGCTAATGTGGGAGAGACCAGCCCACTGAGGGCAGTGCCATTCTTAGGAAGGTGGGCCTTGGTGGTATAAGAAGGTAAGCTAGGTAAGCTGTGAGAAGCAATCCAATGAGCTGTATTCCTCTATGGTCTCTGCTTTGGTTCCTGACTCCAGGTTCCTGCCTTGGCTTCTCTCAGTGATGGCCTGTGACATGGAAATGTCATCCAAATAAATTCTTTGATTCCCCTGAATTGGCTTTGTTCAGTGTTTTATTACAGCAGTGGACACTAAACTAGGACACTTGCTTTTGCTCCAGTACACAGCCTCCCATCCATGCTCATGCAAACAACCCTAATTAAAGTCAGTGGTCACACACATGAAAAAGACAGGAAGAGGTTTTGGAGGAAGAAAGGACTTAAAGGATTTCAGAGGTAGTGAGAAGGGGAAGGAGAAGTAGTAATGGCAAAAAATACCAAAATTTATTATACATCTACGAAACTGTCAAATGAGTGAAAAATAATAAAAGCAAAGAACTGAAGGGGATCCCCAAACTAGAGTGGTAATGGAACAAAGAGAAGCTTTGGAAGGTTCCAGACCTTCCTATACTGGACCATGTGCCATTTGTTAGTGATTGGCCTGCCATTTATGGCTGACAGAAAGGCAAGGACTGAAGATGTTTTGGATTTCTGGACAAAAAAAAAAAAATAGTAGCGAATACGCTGCTTCATGAAAGGCTATAAAAGCATGATCCATCTTGGGGCTGGAAGGAGAAAGGAATGAACTAGATACTGAAACGTTGAGTTTGAAGCATTTTTGGCCCATTCAGATGGACTGCTAATTGTTAAACAATGATGTGCACAAAACAGACCCCATCCGTGCCTTCAGCAGATCTAGAGAAAAGGCAACCAAGGGAGAAATCTAGTAAGTTAACTAACCATTTAAGTGTGAGAGAGAAATGTGGAAGAACTCGGGGTTCTCAGAATCTGACCCTCAGCACTAGGTGATGAGAGATGTAGGTGAAAAGTCAGGCATGGTAGCTCATATCTACAAACCCAGCACTTGGGTGGTGAGGCAGAAGGATTGCCAAAAGTTGGAGGCCAGTTTGAATTACATAGTGAGTTCCAGGCTATCCTGAGCTAAAGACAAGAGAAACCTTGTCTTTCACTCATCGATTAATTAAAAACCCATAGCCTGGCACAGGTCGAAGCAAGCCTGGTCTACAGAGTGAGTTCCAGGATAGCCAGAGCTACACAGAGGAAACCCTGTGTCTTATTTAGGGCTTTTATTGCTGAAACACCATGACCAAAAAGCAAGTTGGGGAAAAAAGGATTTATTTGGCTTACACCATATTGCTGTTCATTATTGAAGGAAGTCAGGACAAGTACTCAAACAGAGCAGGATCCTTAAGGCAGGAGCCATGCAGGGGCCATGCAGGGGCCATGCAGAGGCCATGCAGGAGCCATGCAGGAGCCATGCCGGGGCCATGCAGGGGCCATGCAGAGGCCATGCAGGAGCCATGCAGGAGCCATGCAGGAGCCATGCCGGGGCCATGCCGGGGCCATGCAGGGGCCATGCAGGGGCCATGCAGGGGCCATGCCGGG